GGTTTAATTGTGATGAGGAAACAAGTCCCCTGACCCTTGGCTGGTGGCCCTGCAATAGGTGACAGCAGCGGCAAGCCAAGCCATGTTACCAGCAGCACGGGGAAGGAGCCTGCATCGTTTTTCCTGCAGCCACCTGGCAAAAAGATTAATACCTTCCAAGACGGCGCAGCTGACATCGTGTCTGGTGGGAATAGCTCGTCCTTGCAGCCTGTCTGCTGCATCTGAGCTGGCGACGGGAGCTGGGACCAGGCGGGCAGCAGGCTCAGCATGCTCCCGGGCTACTAGGAGAGACACAGCCAGAGCCTGGCCAGGACACGGTGGGCGTCCCTGCCCAGGGGACAGAGCGGTGAGGAGCCGCGGAGGCCGGGGGAGCGTGAGGGCAGCTGCGGCGTGAGCCAGCGATGGAGTAACCTGGCCCGGCAGGAGGAAGGAGCGATGGCCTCGCACCAAAACATCTCGCTTGGCTCCCAGCACGGCGTGCAGCTTCTGGCATGCAGAGAACCCTGCAAATTTCCACGCCAAAGAAAACAGCTCGATCTAAACCCCCAAAGCACGGCAGTTGTGCAGAGCAGCTGGCCGGAACCCGACGCCCAGCCCCGGGCAGGCTCTCCGTGTCCCCAACCCGGTGCAGAGCCTTGTCCCCAGGTGGGGACGGCCGAGCCAAGGGCAGGTGCCGTCCCCCGTGGGCCCCGGGCTGCCGCTCGGCCGTCAGCACAGGCAGAAGTAGCTGGCGTTAGCTGCCTTTTAGTACTTGCATTTACAGCCCCCCACGCGCTGCCATACAACAGACCTCTTGGGTTGACAGCCCTGATGGGGACGAGCTCATTTTCTGCCTTTAAAAACCAAATCTACTTATACGTAGATGTATCAGACTAACAGATAGCCACTGTCACGGCCAGCCCCGCTCAGAGCCCTGCCAGATACTGCAGTCCTGCTTCCCCAAGGCACGCCATATCTTCAGGCGTCTGTTGTTCCATTAATCTATTTTTAGTAAATATATCCCCCTTAGTTCAGTTGCAGTTATCTGATTAGTTCCTGTAACTATATGAGGAGCAACATCTCCAGGCGTGACTGTGATTTCTGAGCAGACTGTGTGTCTGCACACACGTTTTCTAAAAGAGAGAAACTTGCTGAAGATGCTTCTCCCTGTGGTGCTCGTGGAGACAGCGCTCTGAGCTCTGGTGCTGCACGAGGCTGAGTTTGGGGGAGCTGGGGGCAGTGCGGAGCAGCAGTGCTGCAGGCACCGGAGCACACGACCTTTCGTAAAGGCAGAACTAACCAGGCACGCTTCCCTGCTGCCGCCTGTGATAAGGGGCCATGCTCCTCTGGCGTTGCCCCGATGTGGCGGCGATCAGCAGCTGGCTTTGTTTGCTCCCAGACATGAGGCTGCTGATGGAGATTTCCATCATCATCGCCTGTGGCTGAGAGAGGGGAAAAAGTCCCCCTGTGCTCACGGCCTTTGGGAAGGTGTGGGTTGCTGGGGCTGGGCAGGGAGCACAGGGGACAAGCTCCACCACGGCCTTGTCACTGCACAGGGACTAGTGAAGAACCCCCCAGAGGCTCCAGCATCGCGCTTTGCTCCGAGGTCTCAGCCTCCATTGACTGCAGCTGTCCTGGAAAAATCAGATTGTAGTGCAGAATCCTGGCATTGAGTCTGCTCTGACGAGTCAGGTCTTCCATCTCCCAGCTAAATCATCAGGATGAAGAATGCACCAAGGGGAGCAGGGGGATAAACCTCCCCTTGTGAGAGCTATGTCGGAGGGGTGATGGACACCCAGAGCTCCTCGGCCCATGATGGCTGTGGCTGTGCCCCTGGCTGGGAGAAGGGGGATCTCCCCCAGTAAAGGGAAGATCCTCCTGATCTGGCTTATCTCCCTTGTCAGTGGCCAAAGCCACAAGAGCTCTGCTGCCCGCTCCTCTCCCCACCACCCCGGGGTGCTTTAGGGCCAAAGAACAGGAATTTACTGTAGATTTAAATGCTCCCAGGGCAGCAAAGGGGAATAACTCCGTGCCCACAGGAACAGCAACACCTCAGCATCCCCGCAGCTGGCACCTGAGCTCCTGGGTTGGGGGGGGCTGCCTGAACCCCCTGTGTCAGCCATCCCCTCCCCTCCCTCCTGTGGAAGCGCTGTAACTTATTTACATCATTGTGTGCCTGCTGGGCTTCTCACCACGGCAATTTATTTTCCGATATGCTCCGATGTGACTGTTGGAGCCTCCTTTTCCAGGCAGGAGGAGGCCGCACCACTGGAAATATGTCACAGCTAAAGACATTTATTCCAGACGAGGGACCCGCAAGTGCCTCAGGTGACGCTTCGCTCGCACTCAGATGCCAAGTGTTGCTCACCAAAACCAGTTGCTGACACAAACTGGGGATAACGCGGGTTCCTGTTTTAGGAACACTCGAGCCTGCCGCCCCCTGGGCTCTGCCCCTCGCAGGGACATGTCTGCCTCGAGTGACCCCCCCCCCACTGTGCCCCGACTGCGGGGACCCCAACTGCTGGGGGACGGAGCCCAAACCTGGCTGGGGAGCTGCACCCAAACCCTGCTGGGCACCCTCCGTGGGGCTGGGGTGTGCGGGTGACTCCGGGGGGACAAGGGGCACGGCGGCGGACACCCCACGCTACTTTCTGGGGTGCAAGTGTGTCCGTGGGTGCGTGTGAGCACCCGCAGCACTGCACCCTTCACTTGTGCAAACCCCCCATTGCTTCACCCTCGCGTGTGCAACCCCCCCCTCTCCCCACGCTTCACCCTTTGAG